GACTGGACAATTGCTTACCGACCCCACTGACCAGCTGAAACGCTGGTTTGAGCACTTCGAACAACTTCTTCAAATTTCGACGGCCAACCAGCCATCAACATCTCGGCATGATCCACCTAGGGTGCGGCGCATCACTCGCGTCAATTCCGAAGCCTCATCACTGCAGGAGATTGAAGCAGCTATCCGAATCATGAAATCCAAGAAGGCTCCAGGGGTCGATCGCATATCAGCAGAGATGCTCAAAGCTGACCCCATGCTATCCGCACAAATGTTGCATTACGACGGCAGCAGGCAGGATTCCGTGCCCGAAGATCTTGTGTGGACCATATTGTCACGCTCCGCATCATACTGGAGCAGGTCAATGAATTCCAAGAGTCCCTTTATTCTGTATTCATTGACTACGAAAAAGCTTTCGACCGTCTCAATCACGAGAATCTGTGGGGCGCCCTGAGACGCAAGGGAGTCCCGGATAAAATCGTCAACCTCATCGAAGCGCAGTATGAGGCTTTCACGTGCAGAGTTCTGCATAACGGAGCCTTGTCCGACCCTATCCGGGTAGTCGCTGGTGTGAGACAAGGATGTATACTATCACCGCTACTGTTTCTCATCGTAATCGATGAGATCATGGTAGGTGCAATTGATCGTGTACCGAACCGTGGGCTGCATTGGCAGCCTATCACCATGGAGCATCTCAACGATTTCTATTTGGCTGATGATGTTGCTCTACTAGCACAACGGCGCTCTGATATGCAGAGTAAGCTCAATGACCTAGCCGAACGCTCCTCTGCGGCGGGTCTCACCATCAACGTCAACAAGATCAAATCGTGGATATCAACACGGGCAACCCTTCCAACTTTACGGTAGCGGGGCAAGCAGTGGAGAAGGTCGAAAGTTTCCAATATCTTGGCAGCCAAATAGCGTCGGACGGCGGGACCAAGAGTGACATAGGTGCACGAATCAAGAAGGCTAGGGCTGCCTTTGCGAGTTTACGAAACGTATGGAGATCCAACCAGATAAGTCAACGCACCAAAATCCGAATTTTCAACTCGAACGTGAAATCTGTGTTGTTATACGCCAGCGAGACGTGGTGTGTATCAGCGGAGAACACTCAAAAGCTGCAGGTCTTCATCAACCGATGCCTGCGGTATATAATTCGTGCCTGGTGGCCTCACAACTGGATCTCGAATGCCGAGCTCCATCGTCGATGTCATCAGAAGCCGATAGCAACAGAAATTCGAGAGCGAAAGTGGAGGTGGGTCGGCCACAAACTTCGAAGGGGCGGAAACGAAATCTGCAAGCAAGCGCTGGATTGGAATCCGGCAGGACATCGCAGCAGAGGCAGACCCAGGGGATCATGGCGGCGGAGTCTCAACAAGGAAATTAAGCAAGTCGATAGGAATCTGACCTGGGCCTGGGTCAAGGGAAAAGCGAGCAGCCGCCCAGGATAGAAGTCTTTCACGTTAGCCCTTTGCACCGCTGGTGGTGCACAGGACCCTTAAGTAAGTTTGCATAGGTCCCATCTCATTGCTCGATTCCGGGCAATGAGATGGCAGACTCACTTGCTAAGGTGGGCGCTATGGAAGACGATATTTACAATCGACAAATCGCCTACAACGAATTTTTCTTCATTTATCGCCAACAGTCACTCGTCAGCTGGCAGAATAAATGGGACGAGGGCTATATTGCTACGTGTTGAGCTGGGGGACAGCAATCTCTGTGAATGTGGACAAGGCTACCAGGACGATCACATTATTTGGTCTTATGCTGAGCATCGTGGAGTCAGATCTGACCTGTACGATTCCATTCGGGCTCGATGTAGATAACCTAATGTTCCAGTTCGGGATATTTTGGGTAGACGCGATCTGGAGTTTATGAAACTTATATATATATTTTTTTAAATAATATTAACCTTAGACTGTAAGTTTGACTAACCATGCGTTTTGTTTTTGTTTTGTTCGTGTGTGTTTTTTGTTATATTTGTTTCTGTAATATGTGTGTAATAACACTGCGGATACCAAATTGAATAGGAATAAGTTCATGTTTTAGGAATAATGAAAAATTTGTATCGTAAATCATAACTAAAACCTCCTTTTCCCTCTCCCCTGCCATAAAACTGTAAATTTCTTCTAACCTCGAGACGACCGCTAGTAATCGGTTCAATTCCTTTAACTCTAGTTTTAAGACCTTTATTATGTATAACGCAAATGATAACTTGGCTCTGTAAAGTTTATTCGATTCAGCCTGTACAAATAAATTAATACAAAAAAAAACAGAAAACAGCGCTGCAGGTGCAGTTATCAGGTCAAGATACTCCGGGAGATTGGTAAACTCCAGGTCAAGAAGTCTTTCGTTCGTGTTGACAATGGCCATTGGCAAACATAGCTTCTGTAAAGTTTCTCTCAGTATCAGTCAAGGCGATTGAAGGAATAAAACGATCAATGTCCTCGTCAAGATGCCACCGGAGATTAGGAAGATCGATCCGATCGATAAACGATCTGCCACTTGTTTTCGGCGTGTTTACATCTGTGCTGTTGTGAGGATGCTAGTGAACTAAAATTATCCAAAACTAGTCAGCATAATGTAAACAGGGCGGCAGCATCTACCAGCATGTGATTTAAGGAACAATTGAAATTAGTGCTATTTGGTTGAAAGAAGAAAAAAAAAAGTCGATCTCATTTTAGAGATTCGAAAATGCGGGTCCTTTTCATGATTATTGTGAGTCAAGTTAAAGTCTATAATATAATTCATATTCCTTCATAAGCGTATATCTAAGTCAAGAAGATGTTGAGATAAACTTTACTCTAGGATGTCATGAAGAAGTCTGTAGAACAAAGGCACTATCGACATATTTTTTTCAAAAATAGCTCAAAATCTCTAAAAATAAAGGTCTTGCAAAGTTGGTACTTTCAGAAGAGTTGAATGGCACTATCTAAAAACTTTCCAAACGCATCATTCTTCTATCATGCCTTGTAAAAAGCGTAGCAATTACGGCAGAATTCTGAACTGCATTGATGACATTAAATTAAGGCCAAGATTCTAAGGATCAGCTTTGCTCAAGTCACACAGCATGTAACCCTGGGGAAGAGATATTAATGTATGTCACGATTTGGCATTTATCCGACCACCGTGCGGCGTGGCGTTGCGGCGCACAGGTTGAGTAAGAATCCTCGAAAACCTACCTGAGACTGCACATCCCCCACTGTCACTTTCGCTACAGCTTGGAAATTGTCATCGTACTTTTTCGAAAATAAGATCACACTTTCCTGAATATTCATGTAATTGTGAAACTTTTATTTTGAATAATATAATTACAATACGATACAATAGCATATCCTGGTGACCATCGTTGATCACCCTTTTTAATCTTCGTCTCTACAGTGTTCATTAAGCTAAACTGGGATACTTTGTCCTATCTTGCTACTACTTAGTGACTTCTTCTGCTGAACTTACGTGCTCGATATTTCCTAAAAAGGGGATTAATTTAAAATCTTACAGCCTACTTTTGATATCCATGTTTGTTCTTTTAGTTTTGAAAACATCAGTTGTTTCGCGCTACTAGACTTAAAAAGTTGCGATCCTAGTATATTTACAGTGTTCAGTTTTTATATTAGCTTACTTGCGATTACATATATAAGTGCACCAACAAAGGAATAAAAACGAAATGTATCAACAGTAACTTAGGTATTTTATACCGATAATGAATTTCAGCGTATTTGCATTCAGCAATCCAAAATGTTCAACATAAAACATTCACAAAGAATAATTGAATGGAATTTAAAACAGCCCTCAGTAGTGATTAAAAAAAAAATAAATAGAATGCTTAATAACCTATTCCATATAATGCGGCTTATTAATTTCGGTGGCGATAATGAGGCTATTGCATCCCCGGTGATGCAACTGGCCGACAGCAGAAATCAGATTATGAGAAAAAAGCTGATACCGGAAAATAGAGCGGACATGTTTGATTCCTGGCGTGGCGTGGCAACTTTTATAGTGTGTGAAATCACCCCGTCCATTGTCCATTCATTGCTGTGATAAGCTTATTTTGCTGCTGGTTGGTTGGTTGCAGTTCGAAATTTCAACCAAGTCCGACTGAATGGAATGTGATTTTTACAACTGTTGAAGGTTTTATTCGTGCTGCGCTTCATACAAGGAAAACGCGACTGGGCTGCTGAAGCAGGAGTTCAAATGGTGCGAGGGAGTTTACTACTAAAATAATTACTGCGCAATACCTTTGAATCGCAGTTGCAGTTGGGGTCCAAATTGGTTGGAATACGATTTTCGCATAGGAGTCCGTTGAAGGATATTTTCCGCTATTAATTAATAAATAATCATACATTTTATGCTTGAATGGGTGCCGCTCTGATTCGAGCTATTCAGCGGATGACGTCGGGAGATAGAAAGGGGGTTCTTTGTTGCTTTGTTACTGCATGATATGTACAACGGGGACGGGAGATGTGGGAAAACGAACGAGGAACTTGAGCCAGGACGATAACGGTGGACGAGGCAAGGAACTTTTTCCTGTTAAAGCTGTCAATCAGCTTCGCTACACGCTGTTTGATATGCTGTTTGGGACTTATGAACTCATTTTTCGTTCCATTTATTTAATTATGTAATTAGGTGTGTAATTCCATTTCACCGGTGATAACGCACAAATTTATCGCATTCGCGTTCCACCGTGTCCTGGCTGGTGGGTTTTACCGAGGGGTGATACTATCATCAAAATTTCATCTTCCCCGAAAGGATGATGGGAGCAAGATGCAGCTCTCTGTAAGCGCTTTGTGGATTTTTTTTTCTCATAGTTATTACACGTGTATTTACAATGCAGGTTTTCTAGGGCTTACTGCTCGCGGCGTAAAATTTCGCTGCTAGATTCTAGTTATTATGTTGCAACTATCCTGCTCAGTTCCTATTAGCGTGGAAGAATCCTTACAATTGCTATTGAAGTGGAGCATAGAGCGAGAAAATCAATTGTTTTGTATCTGCTATTTTTTTTTTACATAAAAAATACAGGAGAAATCCTTCGTTCTTTGGTATTCATTTATAGTTTTATCTAGGACTTCGATTTATCGAATCTGTTAGAACTCTACTTACAACTATTGAGCGAAAACTTCTACAGCGAATGTGGGTGTGAGAGAAAGTTACCGTGATTCCAGGATGCGGGAACCCTACATTACGAATTGTCGATAGTATGTTATATCACTTGGTTGAAACTATTTTCAATGAAAGGAAGCTGTGCTACCGGTTGGCTCTAGTAGTAGCGGAGCGGGAGCTATTCCCGATCGCCACCGTGATGAAACTGATGCATTTGGGATGCCTCGTGCAGTTGAGCCAGGTGAGAGCTGTCGTGCAAATTTGCTAGGTGAGCCTGCTCTCCCAGGTTGGCGAGCTGAGCCGGATCGTAGAGCGACATCTTTAGGCGTTTGCATTTGGCTCGGCGATTTTTGAACCAGAATTGGACGTTCTTGCTCTCCAGGCGGGGGAACTTTTGGCTGAAATTAGACGGGAGAGAGGGGGAAAAAAAGGGAATTAGACCACTAATGAAGGCCTTGTCGGATGGTTTGTCGTTTCGTGATTTACGAAGCAACTTGACACGTAAGTTTTGTAAAAATTGATTATTTCGAAGAGCTAATGAGTCTTTCTAATCCTTTTGCCATCTAGGCATCAGCGATATCTCAAGCGTCCAGAATCATAATGCCCCAACTGCAATTATCGATTCTAATCATTAATTTTTTTAGTGAAAAAGTGAGTCGGGAGAGTCGACTTATCCAGTGATAAGTTTCACGACAAATGTTTATCGTCGTCGTTTTAACACATCCATGATTAGAAAACGACTTCTTTCAGCATACGGAAGTAAATTCAGAACATCTCTCCTAGAAGTTGCCTTAATGCGTGACGAGTAGGGTGGCCCAAAAAAGCATTTTGTCAGGAAACCTGAGGGATCACTCTCCACATGATGGCTTAGGGCGAGTTGCTAATTTGAGTTTTATGAAAAAAGTCCCATTTTCTTAGCTTATTTCAAAAAATATTTTTAATTCTTTCAAATCTAGTGAAACCTAACCCATTAAAATTTTTAACAAATTCTTTAAGAAAACAAATTTGAAACGGGTTGTTTTGTGTCTAATTTTGATGTTACAATTTTCTAAATTCTCTAAAACAATGATTTTTTGGTACATAATGGCATTTAATCATTGAAAGTGAGATTCAAACATAGCGCTAGTATCAATATAAAAGAATAGAAAGATGGGAAATTTTATCACAAACAACTTTGTAAAAGACAGTTTGGTCCTATCTTAAAACTTCGCTGAGATATTTGCAATTTACTGAAGAAATAGGAAAATACTTTTTTGCAAGTTTTCATAATTCTTCTTATATTTACGGTGGAAGCTTGTGTCTTTCATCATGATAATTCTTATTAGTGTTTTCAGCTGATATACAATCAGTAAGAGAGGTCTCTAAAGAATTATTCTGAATTTTTTTTTTATCCTAGCTACGTGCAATATTGGTTGATGTTTGATCATTAGTTGGACGATACTCGTTCAATGCCCTTGTCAATCCTATAGGGCACTTTCTGTTGAGTTATTTTAGCTTCGGTGTGTACCTGTGTGTACATAAGTTTGATAGGCTGCAGTGGCTTAGCAACAGTTGTTTAGTTGTATCGATAATAGACGAGTGCACGGGTGTTTATCTACTGAAAAAAAAAATGACACAAGCTGCGGGCAGCTGCGATGCGGGTTCTCTACAGGTGTGAAGAAAGGAAACTAGTCGACGGTGTCACGGTGTTCTTATGCAGCAATAGACGTGACGTCACGAAGAAGAAAATGCGGGAACAAAAGAGTTGACTACCCAAGTAGCACACTTTCATCACAATAAGTTACAGCAACTTGTTTATGACTGAAATAAGTCGTATATAAGTTTCTACAATTGATTTGTGACAAGCGTGCTACTAGGGTAGTTTTCTTCCTTCTCACCTGTAGAACGGTCATCGCAGCTGCCCGCAGCTTGTGTCAATTTTTTTTTTCAATAGATGAACAAACATTTACCCGTGCACTCGTCTATGCATAATCAAACCTATAATAAGCACAGCAGACACACAAGATAATAGTACGTTCAGACTACAGAGTTATAACATGTTACAGCGCTATCTTGATGGTGGTTTCTGTGTTGCAATTATTTGACAACCGTTATAACATGTTATAACTCTCCAGTCTGGACAGCGTTTAAACTAGTATTTTCTCGTTCTTCAAAGCTACTGGTACTGTGTGAAAAATGACCCCGAAACTCAAGTTGAAGTCAGATCCATTGCAAGAAGATTTTTTTTTTATGAAACCATCTACCATCCGAATCAGAAATCACAGGTTATTTCAGGTTCCATCGTGAAAATGAGAAACAGTCGATCGGTAAGAGTGTCCAAATCGTGGCTTCCGAAGTTATTGCTATCTGGAATCACGACGGCCTTCCACATCAACACAAACGAAATGTGGTTAGACGTTTTGCTAAGCTTTTGGCAGATTGGAAACGAACAAAACAAGATTAAAATTTGCAACACTCGTGTTCAATTTTTTTTTCTACGTTGGAGTAGGGTAGAGCACTACTTTGTCGTAATCGCCCATTTCTGTTATATCTATCAGAAAAGATCAATAGCACCAATGATTTCACTGTGCACAAATCAAGAATAGGTTTGTTCCGATGCGTTAGTTCATTAGCTACAACATAAATCCTGTTAGAGCGCATTGTGTGAATGTTTACGCTCATTGTTCTAAAAATAAAAGAAGCGCTCCTTTTTCCACGTTCATCCGTAGGACGAAGAAAATCTAATTGCTTTTCAATGCGTTAGGACGGAATTGAAACTCGTGGAACGAATTTAGAATCAAGAAGCAGTATTAGATTTAAAAAAAATATTTTAACAATTTGTGACTCTTTATCAAATCTAACGGTACGTATGGAAAGGTGAATAAATTTAGAAATCATCTTTGACAAAAATATTTCATTTTTTGGTTAAACTTGTTCAGAAAAGAGAGGTAAAGCGCGGGTTAGTAGGACGGAAATTAGATCAAAAACCCTATCCACAGCATTTGAAGAACGATAATGTTTGTGCAGAGTTTTGGATGCAACAGATGTTAGTTAGAACACCGATCAAAATCCCGGCATGTTTAGCAAGTTTAGAAAATTGTAAAAAGTGTGATGAAACGACACCTAAGAAAATTGGCAAAGTGGCAGTAAGAAACACTACCTCAATCATGAAGCGCGAATTATCTGGCCAAGGATCCGAAAACCAACGCCGTAGCAGAAGTACACTCCCGATCATAAGTTTAAGGACACCCCGAAAAAAGCATGACAAATTTGTTATGTTCATACCTCTGTCATATAACGTCCAATTTTCGTTCTCTTTAGATCATTTGAAAGGTATTGAATGGAACTTTCCTCGTAGGCAAATTGTTCAATATAATTTTCAAATTTTGTTCACCCAAAGTTACAATGTTTTTCAAAATTTACTCTGAAGAATCGTGACTGATTTTCTCAGAATTGGGTTGGCCAAATTTTGAATTAAAAGTAGTAGTATAACACATATGCTATACCATTCATACCATTCAAATAACCTTTGAAGATCTAAAATTGAACGTGAAATGAGAGATTATTGAACAAAACATATTTGCATGATAAAGTAATGAAATTGGGTTGTTAGCGGAATGCTTAAATAAAACAGAAAAAAAGGTTATCTTCCATTTAATTCCACTTAATTAATTTTGGTATCCATGACAGATACGTATTTTGACTACAATGTGCAGTCTTCATCGGTGTCATTCCCGTTAAAGAACTTATCAAAATCTAGCCCCCTTAAGTACTCATCCCAAGGTAAAAAGTCAAGATCAGCCAGTCAACATACAAAAAAAAAAATCAGAAGTCACTTGAGTACTTGTCAGAAATTAATATTTGCCTGGCATTTTTTGATGATACGGTCGACTTCAATGTCAAGAGGAAAATGCTCAAAAACTTCTCAAAACAAAATGACGGCAAGAAAACATAGCAAGAGTGAAAAATTTCAATCCTTAATCCAAAACGGAGATAATCAGATTTTGTGAGCAACCTCCAATTTTTCAAGATTTTAAATGTCAACCCTAATTTTTTGCTTGAAAAAGATCCTTCAAATTGGACCAATACCCTTGAATTCATGAAATTCAAAGAAAAATGCGACAACTTGTGTGCAATTAATGACTCGGCATAACGTGCACTTGGATTGGTAGGAGATATGAATGAGCACGGTCCAACTACCGATGTTGAAAAACATCAAGTAATATTGGCCGTTGCTAAGAACAGAAAACTTCAAAATAATAGCATTAAAACCTCTGTAATCAATTATGTATCAGCTATAAATAATAATTAGGATTATTATGTTGATGCTAGCTGTAAACATATGAAGAATTTTAAAAAACTTGCAAAAATGTATTTTCCTATTCCTTTCGTAAATTGTGAATATATCAGCGAGGTTTCAAGATAGGACCAAACTGTTTCCAGCAAAGTTGTTGGTTATAAAATTTCCCATCTTTTTATTCTATTAGGTTGATACTAGCGCTATGTTTAAGCCTCCTTTTCAATGATTAAATGCCATTAAGTATCAAAAACATCATTGTTTTAGATAATTAAGAAAATTGTAACATCAAAATTAGTCACAAAACAACCCGTTTCAATTTTTTTTTCTTAAGGTTTGGACCGTAAACCGTTACACGAATCAAACATAAAATTCTTTCTTCATTTGAAACCAAAGTTTTTGAAACTTTGGGAGTTCTGTTGAAACAAAATTTGGACAACTTACGAAACAAATAGGCAGCTATTGCCATTCCAATGCGTAGGCCAGCAAGAGAATTTTCTCAAGGGTGACCTTCAGAAACTTACCCGTCATAGGTCTAATTTCTTCATTATCGGTGATTTTAATGCAAAACACCGCTCATGGAATAATGCTCAAAGCAATTCCAATGGTAATATTCTGTTTGATGATTGTTCTCGGGTAATTACACTATTCAATATCCAAACAGCCAACATGCTTTTCTTCTGCGAGAAATCCCTCAACTATTGATTTGGTCTTAACTGATTCATGTCGACTTTGTAGCCAATTGGTAACTCATGCTGACTTCCGTCCTGATAACCTTGAAGTAACTTTTGAAATATTCCAAGAAATAATTTCTAATCCCAACAGCTCTACTTTAAATTACTATAGAGCTGATTGGGAGCAATATCGAACATTTATGGAATATAACTTTGATCCAAATATTCCTTTGCTAACCATATATGAAATTTATTATGCTCTTGAATCTATGACTACTTCTATAGTTGAAGCAAGAGCTGCCTCAGTACCAAGATGCGAGGTTAAATTCGATTCAATTATAATAGACGACGATCTTCAGCTCTTGATCCGTCTTAAAAATGTCCGTAGGAGACAATTTCAAAGAACACGCGATCCTGCCATGAAAGTTATCTGGCGGAATTTGCAAAAACAAATTAAAAAGCGATTATCTGCCCTGAGGAACAAAACTTTTGAAAATAATGTTTCTAAATTAGACCCGAGTTCCAAACCCTTTTGGAAACTCACAAATTTTTTGAAAAAACCTCAAAAGCCTATTCCAGCGCTTGAAGAAGGTGGTAAAATTTTGATCACAAATTTGGAAAAAGCTCAGAAATTTGCTAAGCAATTCGAGAGTTCCCATAATTTCAGTTTGGATCTTACTAGTTCTATTGAGAATCAGGTTGCTCGGGATTACCTGAATATTTTCTCTCGGGAAAATATTTTTGATGATTCCTGGGGGACTGATTTGGACGAAATAAGATCTTTAACTAACTGCCTGTTTCATAATATGAAAGCTCCAGGTGATGATGGAGTTTTTTATATCCTTATCAAAAACTCCCAATGAGTACCTTGTCTTTCTTGGTAAAATTATTTAACAGATGTTTCCATTTGGCATACTTTCCTGATAAATGGAAAATTGCAAAAGTTGTTCCAATTTTGAAGCCGGATAAAAATTCAGCTGAAGCTTCTAGCTACCGTCCAATAAGTTTGCTTTCTTCAATAAGTAAACTTTTTGAAAAGATAATTTTGAATAGAATGATGCTTCACATCAATACGAACTCAATTTGCAAATGAGCAGTTTGGATTTAGCCATGGGCATTCAATTACTCATCAACTCTTAAGAGTTACCAATTTAATTCGTTCAAACAAATCTGAAGGCTACTCAACTGGAGTTGCTCTTCTAGACATAGAAAAAGCATTCGACAGTGTTTGGCATGAAGGTTTGATTGCTAAATTGAAAAAGTTTAATTTTCCACTTTATATTATGAAATTAGTTCAAAATTATTTAACTGACAGAACTCTGCAGGTAAATGATCAAAATTCCAAATCTAATCGACTACCTGTTAGTGCAGGAGTTTCTCAGGGTAGCATTCTTGGGCCTATATTGTATAATATTTTCACTTCGGACCTCCCTGATTTGCCTCAGGGTTGCCACAAATCTTTGTTCGCAGGCATTTCCGCTAAAGGAAGAAGTCTTCGTGTTATTTGCAGCAGACTGCAGAAAAGTTTAGATATTTTCTCTTCTTATTTACAAAAAATGGAAGATTTCTCCCAACGCTTCCAAAACTCAACTTATAATATTTCCACATAGGCCTAGAGCTTCGTTTTAGAAACCTAGTAGTAGTCACATAGTCACTATGAACGGAGTTCCAATTTCCTGGTCAAACCAAGTGAAATATCTTGGATTAGTACTTGACCAAAAAATTACATTTTAAGATCACATTGAGGGCATTCAAGCCAAATGTAACAAATTTATAAAATGTTTTGTATCCTCTAATAAACAGGAAATCCAAACTTTGCTGACGAATAAACTTCTAATATTTAAACAAGTTTTTAGACCAGCCATGCATGGAGACTTTAGAACAAATGTCGCAAAAATCGTTGCAATCCTCAATTGCAACGATTAATTCCCTTTATACTTAGATAAGATTTAGTTTTAGTTTTTAGTTTTAAGATATCAATTGTTATACTGACATGCAGGTTTAAAAAACCTGTTTAAAATACTGAATTGCCAAGACAGGAACAATGTAAAAACACTTAGCTATATATCAAAAAAATTAAAGCTGGAAAGTTACTGTAGTAACTGGAGCACCTAGGTTAAAATTAAATGTAATTTATTTTGAATTTGGAACAAATAAAGAGTTAAAAAAAAATTATATAAAAATGAGGTAAGGAAAATAATTAAAATATGGTTCAGATTAATAGCTGGCTCAATAAAGATACACATTACCATTTATTATATAAGACCACGTAGTCGTACATCATCATTGCGTACAACCCCATAGGGCTGTCCCTAGTAGTTTTTAATGCTTTGCAAGCAATCAGATTCGTGTCTCTAGCGATAGGCAGACGAGATGCGACCTTGCTAATTGCTGAAGCCAGCTTGAATGTTTTGCTTTCAAACCTACAGAAACAGAATAACTCAACGAGTTACATGACGTAGTTTACGACAGGATTTTTTCATGACGAAATAAGAAGCTGATGAAATTTCTGAAAACAGACGCTGGTTTAGTGCAAAATGCCATCGTGCTCTAGGTCACAAACAATGAAGTTTGTGAAAGATGCTTAGAACATGAGACAACAGACAATGCTTCTAACTCAAGCAAATTATCGATGCACCAGGAGAACCTTACTCTCCAGCAGTAACCATAATGTGCTATTAAAGAACAGTCTGAACTAAACAATCTCTCAACTAATTCAGCTGAACGTGGAAAAATTTTCAAATGGAGGTGACACTATATGAGCTTAGCGGAGAAACGAAACGCAACTTGCAAAAACTTCTCGACAACTTGACATCTATCAAACATACCTCTACTGAGACTTCTCCAATTCGTCAAATTTTTACATCAGGTAACGTTCTTCTAAGGCTGATGATAGTTTTAATTTACTTTTAATATTTGAAGTCATTTTTTAAGCGAATCAGTAAAATTTCATAATCCATGCATTTGAAAACAAAAAATAAAAATTAGATAAGAAACTATTGAAATACTTTTATTTTCATCCCGGGAAACAACTTTTTAATTACCTGAATCCCGGCATGGTGAAAATCGTTGGGAAATGGAAGCTCTACTTAGGATGTCAACCTTCAAGCAAAGTTAGTCACTAATAACCTCCTTGAAACCATTTAAAAAAAAACCGGAAACTGATAAATCATGCTCGAGATTGTCTTATTAGAGATATCCTTGTTTTTTGGTACAGCCGAGTGCATACATTATCGACAAATAAAATTATTTCTATTGCTCAATCGAATAAGGACTATTTTCGTACGTGCCAGAAGTGCAAGCCTACGGAATGTTGGTATCTCGATTTATAAATCTTATTCTGGAAAATCTTCGTAAATGTACTGATTTACTTGGAGTTTTCTTAGAAAAGGCTTCTTATAAAAGCTTCTTTTAAACATACCTAATTTGTTTTACACAAGCGCAGAGAAGAGATGCCATAATCAGCTAAGTCATAAATTGGCTTTAGAGTCTAACTTACGGCTTGTTACAGCCATAAACAGGTTGTTTGCTTTCGACTTTCGAGGATCAGAGTAAAGTCATTTCAGGTTTTACGCAAATTAGTTCGTCCATATTGTTGATCGTGTGGTCTCAGATTGCAATAAAACTAAGTGCAATTTGTTTAAAATAATCAGAAAAACAATCAATGGCATTGGTAGGCTCATTGTTTACTTGGCTTGCGTTCTCGAATTTTTTTCGATAACGATTTTTAAGCTTTTTGAATTTACATTTGGCACATTGGGGTTTTTCCCTCAAGTGAAACATACAGCAAAAAACATTATTTTGCATGAAAGTTTTTAATAAAACATTCATTTGCATTTAAATTTACATGCATGTATGTTGTTAACAAAAGTACAATTGAAATTTATTTAATCTTCTAGTATTAGGCCCAACTCCTACTAGGCATATCAATATTTAGGTAAATTTTGTTACAAACAACAAAATTCATTGTTCAGAATTATAGGCTCCGGAAAGCTAACACGATTGAGCCTTTCTAATAAACGAGCTAGAAAAAAAATTCAACGAACAGTAATATACATTTACATGAACTTGTAAATTTCTGCTTTAATTCCGTTAAATTTCTGATAGCTAATCGTGTAATTTTATATTTTAAAATCTGCTCCACACAGCAAAAATTAAATTTTAGTATTACATCCAAGAAGATGCACTTCAATCATGTCGAAAATCGCATGTAATTTTTATGGCCACAAAAATAAACAAATGCAGTAAAAGTAGCGTAATGTCAGTTCATGCACTGTATTAATGTTGGTAATTGAAGAACCAATAGTTGGTAATTCAAGAACCAATGAGTAAATCAATTCGAAATCTTTAAATAACTTTTCAAAAGCGACCCACATGTGTTTGTGCTTACACATACATTCAGACTACACACCACACCCTCACCGTCACCGGGAATCAATCAATCGCTGTGGCAAACAAACAAATCAACAAGTCAACCGAAACGCAACTCACCGATACGGCATCCGGTTCAGGTCCTCCGTGTACTTCAGGATCAAATTATGCGACGGGTGGGTGTTCATCGAGAACCACTGTTCCAGCTTCGGTACCTCGGTGACCGGATCGATAAAAGTCCTGTTCCGTTTCCGCCGTTCATCACTGTTGAACGACAGATTCAGGCCTCCCTGCCCCAGGGCGGCATGATTGGTGGGGCTAAGATCGTTCTTCAGATGCATGCCAGCTGCATTGGCCTGCATGGCCGGTATGTAGTGGCTCATGTACATGATCGAGTGCGAGAACATGGGATTGTTGATCGGGAAGGGGAGATTACGTTTTGAATCGGGCGATGGCGAACGGTAATCGTCGATGGTGGAACCTTCGGGTTCGTCCATGTCCAGATCTTCGGAAACTGGTGAGCGCGATCGCTGAGGGGAGCTGGAACGTTCGTTCGAATAGTTTGATTTTGGTGCCTCGTTTTGGCTGGTGGAGTCGTTGGCCGATTCGTTGGGATTGTTGTTGTTGTTGTTGTTATTGTTGCTAGAGTTGAGGTTGTTCGATGGAGGTGGGGAAGGTGGGGGACTGGAACAGGTTGGGTTATTTTCCTGTTTGATGGGAGTGCCTTCGGTAGGGGTTAGCGGTCGATTGCGTTCGTGGATGGTGAGGGAAAGCGGGAGCTGTGGAGACATTGGTCGGTCCAGGTCATCGTCCATTTCGTCCTGCGATAGATTGTCGATGTCTTCTGACGGGGCACTGGGAGAGCTTTTCATGTAGTCCGGTTGAGAGAGCATCATGTTGGGGTTCCCGTAACCGTTGCTCATACCTTGCCGCATTTCTGCCCGCTTCTGGGCGGCTCTAGCGTTTTTGAACCAGTACACGACGTTATTGACGTCCAGAGGTTTGCGCCCCCTTCGGGATTCCAGTGAGTTTAATTGAACGACGTACGACTGGATTTGCTGTCTGGAAGGGTGAGGATTCTCCTGGAACCATCGTTGCAGTTTGGGTAGTTCCAGTTCCGGGTCGAAGCTAGTTCGCATGCGGGTCTTTTGATTTGGATATTGGGAGTGAACCGTCTGCAGGGCAGGATGCACCACAAGGTTGTGGTGGGGATTTGCTGCCCTATCAATTAGCGATTCCGCCCTGGCGTCATGCATGTTGAAATTGGAAAAATCCAGCTCGCTCGGTTGGGCATTGGCAAATGGGAGGATCTTGTGGGCGATAGGGTTGGGTTGTGGAGCTAGCTGGTTGCTCCACCATTGATCGAACTTTCGACGGACTTCATCGGTGATTTCCGGCGTGAAGGGGAATGTGTTTTGTAGCGGACTGCGACAAATTTGCGAGAGAGTGATCTGAAACGAGTAGAAACAGTAATGATTATGGATTAGAATAGTTATTTGAGGAGGGCAATTACATGAATACTTCCACCGCTAATAGTAGGGCAAAACGTAGAAGATAGTGTAAATCCATAAGAGCTTTAGTGCACTGTAATCGTTGTTTGTTGCAGCACAAGTGGGATTACAGTCGCAAGGGAATAATACTAACGAGCTCCACGCTCGGTAGGACGATGAGGGAGGGGGATCCGATTTCACGTTCTGTGTCTTGGCTTGATATAATCCAAAGACAAATTGGACGTCGGTTTGTTAGCTCTAAAGGAGTGATAGTGCTGGTTCAGCTGAAACACAAGATACAAAAATCCGATGTTTTTTTGCAACTCAAGGAGAAGACGAAGCCCGCTAAAAAGCAATCTCAGTCCGAAGAATGGCATCATTAAACTCATCAGACAACCCGTGCACCACTGACAGATTCGAGTCAACCGGTGATAGATAATCGTATTTTTTTTTTGCAGTCACACCGCAGCAGGTGATGATGATGATGATGATGATGGTGGTGGAGGTATTGGTGTCGGCAAAAATAGCGTTTAATCCTTATCTAGCATTAGATGGATCAACAACGACGACAATTGGACGGCGTGAAGGTGCATTGAAATTATCTTATCTGATAGGTACATATACGCTAGGCCATGGAGCCACCCTTCAAGACTGAGTGGCTCAAAAAAGAAGTCAATATGAATAATTGATCAGACTTGTTGGATTAGTCATGGAAAACGGCACTGCCGGGACGGCTCGTGGCATGGCAAGCGCGTGATTAATCAAGTGACTGTGTTTTGATAATTGGAACAAAGCTAATTCAATAGAGATAATCGAAGCTGTGATGGATAGGGTGATGATTTTGAAAACAAAATTAGACGATGGATAAATTGCGCATTTATATGGATTGGAAATTTTAAAAGGGTTCGAGGTCAGTGTTGCTTCCTAAGGTTTTCATAATTGTTATCAGAAGGATCGCATCACAACAGGATGCGTTTGTCTAAAGCATGTTCATTGTCTTTAAGAAAGTTTTTGCTATGACTCTTCTACTCGTGGCTCAAGGTTTGATTCAACCCTAAAGATAAACAAAAAGCTTCAAATGAATGGTATATCGTTAAAAAAAACTCACGAGCTAGCAAACCAATAGTTTTAGTAAATGTTCTAATTTTCGATCAAATATTAGTTTTCAATCCTTCCATACAAAACAAAAATCAAAACATCGTGTTTAAACCGTAAAGCAATATGATGCTTTTTCGGGAAAAAAAAGGTAAAAACTAAGAGCTTTGACAAACATTAGTTCACAATCATTCGTGAAACTGCTTGTACATTTAAAGGTCTCCTCCAGACATGTTTTACTTTCATTTGTTTTAAGACCAATTGCAATATTGTTGTGCCATATATCACTAATTCAAATGTCATTAGACTGAACGCCGTTTGGTAATCTTTGGAACAAATTTCATCACTCTGGATTTTAAAAAATTTCCACGATGTCTGCCTGAGAAGGCACATTGAGGACATAATAAAATCCTGAACTTAGCAAGGCTGTGTAATCAAGCAAGTATCGATTCAAAGTCGGAGGCAATTTTGGAAGTTAAATTTATATCGATAGAATAGTATAAATGACGCTGATTTTGACTCCAGATGCTTCAATAATGCCTCTCACTCTGATGAAACCTCTTAAATCCAAGTGTATATTCCGTGTGACGAAGATGGCCAGGCCGCTCGTTATAAAGCTCGACTAGTAGCGAAGGGCTACCTGCAGCGTTATGGAGTTGACTTCGAGGATACATATGCACCGGTGGCGAAGTTACCAACCATCCGGACTGTGCTAGCTGTAGGCGTCCACAACCAGTTCCATTTCCATCAGATGGACGTTAAAACTGCCTTCTTGCATTGAGATTTGAGGGAGGATATCTATATGGATATTCCTGAAGGCGTCCAGGCTCCAGCAAATATGACCTGCAAGTTGCTGAAATCATTGTATGGATTGAAGCAATCTCCACGATGCTGGAATGAAAAATTCAACAGTGAACTAGTCAAGATGGGTTTCAAGCGGTCCCGCCATGACTACTGCCTATACACACGATGCGAAGAAGGAGACGAGCTGTACGTTGTACTCTATGTGGACGATTTGCTAATCGCAGGGAGGAAATTGGAATCCATCGCACGCATGAAGGAGAAGCTTTCGACTGTGTTCAGCATGACAGCATGGAGAAGCACGCCACTTTCTGGGAATGAAGATAGCGTACGATCGGCAAACAGGAGCTCTTCAACTTTCGCAAGAGGCGCAAATGGCAAATTCAAAAGCATGGCTACAGGTATATTCTAAGCCATTCAAACCTTGTTAAAATCATGATAAAACCTAAATGGTTACTTGGGAACTTATGGTCATGTTCACTGGTGCAGCGAAGGGGGTGGGGTTAGGGTTCAACTCCCTTCTATCAAAAGAGGCTTTAAGCAGCGAATCCAAACACATAAAGAAACCAACGATACAGACAAAACGGTTGCTACGACTACCATGACAAACTTGCTATGTAACATAGCTCGATCAGAGTGGTAGAAAGATATATTATATATTGCTTACCTGCTTTGTTGCAATATACATGGATGAGGACATAGCTTGATCTGAATCGAGAAAATACATAGCAAAACAATTCCCACTGACACACGTGTATCATCTTTGGCTTTACTTCGTGAAGCAACTTGCCAACAGTTTGCTCGTTTCCTTATAACACCCCGAGTGAGCTGTGTCGCACGGGCTGCTTGTCACGAAAAAGAAGGAAGAAGATTATATCATTAATGCTTTCCACATAGCGTTGTTTTCGGTTCGTTGATCGCTTGTCATTTTATCATTTGGAGATATTTTTGATTCCTTGAGGTTGAGACAAATAAATAATTGTCTTTTGATACTGAGTGTGGGAATTTTTTTGCAATTTTTCAATTTGAATGATTTTTTTCTATGGACTACCTACTTTCCATATATGTGTATATTATTATATTGTTTTTCTTCTTTGTGGCATTCGACCATTTCTCCCACCATTCGTGCACCATTCGACCAGTAGTCCTTTTGACCATTTGTTTCCATTCAAAATATTTGACCATTTTTCCATTCGACCTTTTGTTCCTCTTTCGATCATTCGACTTTTTGTCTAATTTTCCCCCTTTATGCCATTCGACGTTTTGTCACAATTCGAATTCAACATTTTGTCCATTCGACCTTTTGTCTATCCGAACTTTTGCCCCTCTTCATATAATTTAACTTTTTGACAGTCTTATCAACATTGGATCGGGATAAGAAGCACAACCTGGAAGAGCTGAAGTGCGAAGGAATGGAGCAGCTGTATCGTTCTCAAGAAACACGCTAGTTCTACAAGAAACTCAACGCATCCAGTCAAGGTTTTGTGCCGCGAGCCGAAATGCGTCGGGATAAGGAAGGGGGTATCTTAACGGACGAACGTGAGGTGATTGAAAGGTGGAAGCAGCACTACGATGAACATCTGAACGACGCAGAAGCGGAGGACCAAGGCGGCAGGAAGAACGGCTTCGTCGGTATAGCGGATGAGGGGGACATGCCAGCTTTCACGATAGGTGAAGTTAAGAATCCTATCCGACAGCTTAAGAACAACAAAGCAGCTGGGAAAAATGGTATCGGAGCGGAACTTATCAATATGAATCCGGATAAGTTGGCCATTTGTCTGCACCGACTGATAGTCAGGATCTGGGATACTGAACAGCTACCGAAGGAGTGGAAAGTGAGAGTAATATGCCTACTATATAAAAAAGGGCGACAAACTAGAATGAGAGCACTATCGAGCGATCACTATTCTTAACGCGGCCTACAAAGTGCTTTCCCAGAGCATCTTTCGCCGTTTATCGCCGCTAGCAAGCAGATTTGTGGGAAGTTATCAAGCCGGTTTTGTAGACGGACGATCGACAACGGACTAAATCTTTACGATGCGACAGATGCTCCAAAAGTGTCGTGAATATCAAGTCCCTACGCACCACCTATTTATCGATTTCAAGGCCGCTTATGATACTTTTGAGCGTGAAGAACTATGGAAGATTATGGACGAGAACGGTTTTCACGGGAAGCTGACCAGACTGATCAGGGCTACGATGGATGGTGTACAGTGTTGCGTGAAGATATCGGGTGCGTTATCGGACTCGTTTGAAACTTGCAAAGGACTTCGACAAGGCGATGGTCTTTCCTGGCTCCTGTTCAACATTGCGCCAGAAGGTGTTATGAAACGTGCGGGCTTTAACATGCGGGGCATGATCTGCAATAAGTCCAGCCAGTTCATCTGCTTTGCTGACGACGTGGACATTGTCGGAAGAATGGTTCAGGCTGTGGCAGAGCAGTACACCAGGCTGAAACGTGAAGCAGAGAAGGTTGGATTAAAGGTGAATACGTCGAAGACAAAGTATCTGTTAGCTGGATGAACCGAGCGGGATAGGGCTCGCATAGGCAGAAGCGTGACAATCGACGGAGATGAGTTCGAGCTGGTGGATGAATTTGTGTACCTCGGATCATTGGTGACGTCGAATAACAACTGCATCAGAGAAATTCGTCGGCGTATTATTGCCGGAAGTCATGCTTACAACGGACTCCACAAGACCCTTAGGTCGCGTAAACTTTACCTCCGTACTAAATGTACCATGTACAAGACGCTGATAAGACCGGTAGTTCTCTACGGACACGAGACGTGGACGATGCTCGAGGAGGACCTGCAAGCACTGGGTGTTTTCAAATGACGAGTGCTTAGGACCATCTTTGGCGGGGTATGTGAGAACGGTGTATGGAGGCGAAGGATGAACCACGAGCTGGCGCAACTCTATGGCGAATCCTGTATCCAGAAAATTGCGAAAGCTGGACGGGTACGATGGGCGGGACACGTTTTAAGAATGCCGGACAACAATCCCGCAAAAATGGTGTTTGCCTCAAATCCGGCCGGTACAAGACGAAGAGGAGCACAGCGAGCAAG